CCTTGCTGAGCGTCGACAAGGCTGACGCTGCTTCTCTGCTCGCTCTATTCCTGTCTCACCTCAATGCCATCGGTGTCGACCTCCAGCGGGTCGTGGGCATAAGCACCGATGGCGCTGCCGTGATGATGGGGTCGAAGGCTGGGCTTGTGACGCGGCTGCGGATGCAGATTCCGCACTTGGTGTCATGTCACTGTATTGCGCACAAGTGAGCCTTGTTGTTAACCGCTATTGTACCTCTTGTTAACTGCACTGGTGGTTTCCGCATGTGCAATGTGTATTACCCCACTCCCAAGGCCCAATATGTACCATTCTATGTTCGTTTTACCACCCTCCAGAGAGGCACTGGCAGCTAAAGCAACGGCGGATTCCTTGCCGGCGTTCAAGATGATTGATGATGTCATCAAGGAGCTCGCTGAGTACTTCGGACGCTCCGGCCCATGGCACCAGGGCTTCTTGGACCTGCAGGATATCTTCACCTCGACGAACCTCGAACTTCAAGGCATTCATAACATCCGATGGCTCTCCCGTGGTGAGGCTGTCATTAGGTTAGTCAAGGTTCTACCCGCCATCGTGGTCATGCTCTCCGAGTGGACGGACACCTGGCTCTCCAGGATAGTGACAAGCTACCGCTTCTGGTTCCTTGTCATGTTCCTTGCTGATGTACTGGAGCAGCTAAACATCCTCAACAAGTTCTTCCAAGAGCGTCAGGTGAGTTTTTCGTTACGGTGACATTGAGTTGTTACTAAATCACCCTGTTTATGTATATACACCTTCCCCGCCCTTCCTCCCCTCCTCCTCTTCCCCGCCCAAACCTCAGCTGGAGTACTCGGCCGTCCACGCGCAGATCATCCGCACAACAACCCTGCTGCAGAGCCGCTACGGGGACGGCGAAGACTTTGGCGGAGGACCGAAAGACTGTCTCACTAGCTTCCTCACCCGTCACTGCCCGGGTGGGTCTCCCGAGGTCACCACTGAGGGCGTCGACTCCGACGGCCGTCCGGCTTCCTTTACCTTCGTGCTGCATCAAGATCGCTTGCCCGGTTATCCGGGGGAAGGCGATCACGACGCGTGCCAGGATCTATGCGTGGCGATGGCGACAGGGATGGTGTCAAACTTGAAGGAGCGGCTGGGTGATCTGGGAAAGCTCTCTGGCTGCCGCCTCTTCTCTGTCAACCTCTGGCCCCCTAACTGGGAGAGAGCTGCACGCAAGGCCCAGTGCCTTGACTGGTTCTTCTCCCTCGTTACGCTTTACCGCGCAGATGAGGCAGAGGAGATTCTTCCTGGCATTGACAAGCGTGCAGCCATGAGGGAGCTGCCTCATTTCTGCCCTGTCATTGCTGCTCTTCCCCAGGCCGACCGAAGCTTTCACGCTGGGCTCACGGCCATGCTGAAGACACCTGACAGGCAGGATTCTGACCCGAACCTGATGAAGCTGTGGATGGCGGTGGCAGTGCTTCCTCTCAGCACTGTGGAGTGTGAGCGTGGATTCTCTAGGCAGAATACGATTAAGAGCTGGTTGCGTGCCAGCCTTAAAGACACTAGGCTTAGTGACCTGATATGCATGTCATTGTTAGACTACGACTCGGACTATGATGCTGTGGTGGAGATATGGCGCGCTTACAAGAAGCGTAAGCCCTTCAACAATACCTTTCAGGCCAAGCAAGATGGCTTGAAGAAGGGGAAGGGAGTAGCAGAAGAGGCAGAGGGTGGTGTAGGTAGTGACAATGTAGTCGATCTTGATAATTTCGACTAAACTATTTTGCTTTTCAATTTCTTCTTCATTTTGCCAATCAGGGAAAAAACACCATCTATCTCAATCCATTCAGCATTTTTGTGCCACACAATACTGTCGACTAAGGAAAAAAAATTGGGGACTTCTAAAAATTCAGGGAAAAAGCCAAGGGCAGTCCTTTGCAATCAGGATGACTTAAAACCAATCTGAGGGCCTGGTGGGGGCGTTTCGTAGGCGGACGTGCCCTATCTCGTGGACTTGAGGGTAAAGGTGTCGCCTTAGTTTTTGTCGGGTGAGACACCCTTGCTGTTCCCTTCCCTTTTTTTGCTGCTGTCTTGCTGCTCAGCCCGGTTCCCTTAACACTGTCCCGTCCTCCCACTATGGTATTGACGTATGGCTGTTTCCAGTGATAGCTTGGGATTGGGTATTATGTTTTGTGTTGTAAGTTTTCTTCATTATTTAAGGCTCCATAGCATTGTAGCAGCTAGAAATCTAGGTGTCTTTAAGTAGCCTTGACCCTTCATAGTATATCATTTGTATTTTAGCTCGTGTTTGTTCTTCAAAAAATATACCTCACTCATTATCATACGCATTATACTGGAGGTACAAATATCTGTCACCTCAGCATTACTTAGTGAACCAATCAGAGGCTGCGTACTCTCACGTGTCGCCAGCGCACCATGCTTCCAATTCCGGGAAATCCAAGCAGGCAGACGTGGGAATCGCGATTGTCGACGGAATGTGGGGCAACCTCACCTGGGCGAAATTGCGCGCTTCGTTGAGAATTCTACCTGGTTCAAAACCGTCGACCATTATCGCTCAGCGATTGCACACGTGGCAGTTCGGGCCAATTCGGTCGACCTCACGCTACTGTTCCCTCAAAATGCCGCACCGAAATGCATTACATACGGACTAGTTTCGGGATGACCGTCGTTGCTTGAAAACTGTTCAGTTTCGACGCTAGCTGCTGCTCAGGTTCTTACATTTAAAGCCCAGGTATCAAGTTGCAGGGCGCGAGCGTTTTTGTTAACAAAAACGGATCGCGTAAGACCTGGCTAGCGAAAGCTGTAACCGATTGAGCCCCAGCGGAGCTGCACAATATGGTGAAAGGATGGCCCCTGGTTTGCAATTGGTTTTCATTGGTCCACGAATTCCCTCCCCTCACTTCCCGAAAAACTCAAGCTTCGTGACTTTCGCAACCACTCAGTTTTCCCTAGGTCTCGCCCAAACCGCGCACACTTTTTGCGGCTTGCAATTTAGGACCTGGGCTAAAACGCAGCAAGCATAGTGTGTACCCCACTCACGCAATATGCGGACCACTTGCCCTAATTACAGTTGGCTTGCTTTATTTTTAAGGGTATTTACCTCTCGGGTAACCAACATCCGAGGTGATGACGTCAGCAGCTACCTATATGGCTTCACGATAACCATCAGATCGACTTCGTCCCAGCATGGTACCAATTATCCCTACATGGTGCCAATTTGTACGCGGCAGATTCCCTAACCGGTAACGGTCAGTTTCAACGCTTCCGAACTGCCCCCACGTGTTTCGTATACGCCCTGACGAAATTCACGAAGAAGAACATCTGGTACAGAGTATTTCGCAGGTACGCTTAGGCTGAAATATCACGCAACACATTTGAACTAATCTCATATAACAATCTCATTATGTATACCATGCATGTCTAATGGTTTAGTAGTTTTAATACCATTTTGAAATTTGTGGAATTATTAGTACTTTCCAGCAGTCTAAATGGAAAAACACTATATATATGTAGTTTCCATGCGTACCATTAATATAATGTGTCAGGCAATATATAGTAGTTTATAGTGTTCATGTGTTCTCTTTCATAATGTGTGTAAGGATTTCATGAATTATTAACGGGTTTCGCCACAGTGAATATTACGAACAGTACACGTCCGCAGCCTCGGTCCTCAAGTGTCGCGTCAGACCACCCCCTCCGAATAATCGGCCCTGAGCGTATTACCTAGGCGCCTCGAATGCAATTTGACCATTTTTTCCCTCAAGGTTCAAGCTTGGTCAATTAGTAATATATGAAACCTAGGCCTTATTTGTATTGACAAAGATTGTAGTCATCTCCATTATATTGTTCTGTGCTATTCTACGGAGTAATTTATAACAATGAGCATGTCCAACGGTTATATTTTTTCTAATTACAATCCTGTTAAGCTTAATTTGTGTAACAAACTACCATAAAAAATTAATATTATACATAATGATAGTTTTATATGATGTTGATTTAAAAATGTTGCGTAACATTTCAGCCTAAGCGCACATGCAAAATACTCAGTACTAGATGTTCTTCTTCGCAACTTTCGTCAGGGCGTGTACGAAACACGTGGGGGCAGTTCGGAAGCGTTGAAATTGGTAGATTACCAGTTAGGGAATCTGCCGCGTGCAAATTGGTACCATGTAGGGATTATTGATACCATGCTGGGACGAGGTCGATCTGATGGTTACCGTGAAGCCATATAGGTGACTGCTGACGTTATCACCTCGGATGTTGGTTACCCGGAAGATAAGTCCCCTATTTTTAATGCGAGTATTTTCAACGTTATCTTTGCGGTGGACTGTCACCCTCGGGACAAATAACCTCTGGAAAAAACAATAAACTTCGTTTTCTAAACGACGGATGTTTACTACAATGTGGGATCCCACATTTTGGTACTGTCGTCGAGAAGGTAACGGATTCAAGCCATCTACTGGCTTGTGCCTTTAGGGGGTGTTAGTAGGAGCGTGAGGTTTCGGGACGTCGTTATATTCAACCGTTTAAAAGCTACCTTGCCGGGCCTTCTGGTGCATTCCCGGGATGTCACAGAGTGTAATACACGGACATGCTTTCTGGTGACCCAAATGTTCAACCTTTTAAAATTACAACGAGACAAGTGTACAGAACCATTCCAACACTACAATCGGAAGGGCGGCGCACAGTGATCCGCTGAAATTTTTCGGGCCGAAACGAAATTTGCCGTTCGACAAATTCCGAAATCAATAGTTTTGAGGGAACAGTATCTCGAGGTCGACCGAATTGGCCCCAAATGGTCGCGTGTGCAATCGCCTGGCGATAAGGGTCGACAGTTTTAAATCAGGTACGATTCTCTGCGAAGCGCGCAATTTCGCCAACTGGCTCGCCGCCGCCAGTTTTCGCTGCTCCCGGCAGGCGGTGCGTGCTGCTCTCGCTTGGTTGGCTGCTGCAGCCCGCGGCGAATATAAGCCCAGATCGCACAAGCAGGCGCAGAGAGCTTCGTAGCGCAGCAAGTTGAGAAGCAATGGCAACCAGCACTCTCTTCCTTTCTTCCAAGATCGGCCCCAAACTCGCACCCACCTCTCAGCTACGCATACCACGCTCCGCGCAACTCCTCGCGAATGTCGCCTTCTTACCTCACCGCCACATCACTGCGCAAAGTTACGCCTCTCGGCGACGGCTGCACGTGGTTGCCGTGTCGGGCCGCGACCACGACAGTGGGTTCACCCGCCCCCCTCCAGCCAAGGTAGGACACTAGCTTGGTGACTCGTAGAAACGCGGTGGCTTTGTTCGTCATTGCAATTCTCGCGTGTCAAAGCTAACGGCCTCCCCACCGTGTGCGGCGTGTCAGTTGATCCATGGCGAGCGGCGCGAGCGACTACCAGGCTTGGGCTTGACCAAGAAGAACGAGCTCTTCCTGGGCCGCTTCGCCATGATCGGCTTCGCTGTAAGCACGCGGTTGACTCCCTGCTTCCGCCTTTTTGCATTCGTAGATGCACAACAACCAATTCGTAACTTCAGCTTCGTCTCACGGTTTGTATGTTGCCCATTCCCCTTTCCCCCGTTGCCCGCCCATCCCACGCGGCAGGCGGCGCTGCTGGTGGAGGCGGTGTCGGGGCGCGGCGTGCTGTTCCACCTGCACGCGCACGCCGGAGTGCCTCTCGCGCACGACGACCCACTCGCGCTGGCCGCCGTCGCGCTCTCGCTGCTGAGCGCGGTGGGCGCGTTCGGCGACCGAGGCCGCTTCGAGGACGACGAGCCGGTGGGGCCAGGCAGGCCGCGCTGCACCATCCAACAGGCACTGGGGCTGCACGACCGAGGTGAGAAGGGGGAAGGGGAGGGGGGGTGGAAGTAGAGACGCTGCCGATAGCAGTAGCGATCCCAGACGCGATAGCACAAACAAGAGGGCCAAGGAGCATGCGACGCAAGTAGAAGGGTAACATACGCCAATCACATGCCTTAGCCCCTCCCGTCCTCCGTACAGCCACCCGCTCTTCCCAATCGAAAGCCATTCTGCTGCTATGCGTCCCCCTCTGCTGGTGCGTGCGTGCAGGCCCGCTGCTGGGGATGAGCAAGGCGAGCGAGCTGTTCGTGGCGCGCCTGGCGGAGCTGGGCTTAGCAGCGACGCTCGTCGCCGAGGTGCTGACGGGGCGCGGCGTGCTGGCGCACCTCAATGTGCACACGGGCGTGCCGCTCTCGCACCTGCAACCTGCCCTGCTCGCCCCCGTCATGTTCTTGCTGCTCGCTGCTGCTCACCCTGGTAGCGGCCGCTTCGTTAATGATGACTGATTCACGGTGGATGTATGTCAGTGGTGCGTGTATGTACAGGCAGCATGCTAAAACGAGCGAGCCACCACTTCCAGCTTGAACTGCTGGCTTTCCATCCACTGCACACGGTGCTTCGAGCCAAAATCAAACTACAACCTGGCCTACTCCATATTGTTATTTGGCAGGGGTTGTGAGTTGTGCAGTAAGCTGTTAGAATACGATAATGATTAGAAAAAAGAGAGAACAAGGCACATATAGGGTTGGAGTTGTACCCTTTAAGAACACACACCTATTTAGCTTATAAATTTTACATGCAAATATAGGTATAAGTTAACATACCCCCTAGGCTAGATAAGGGGTAGTGTTGAGCAAGTAGTAGCTAACAGAATGAATGAATGAGTAGAGTGGTGAGATACAAGGCAATATAGTCTAGAGAGTTGTACCCACTAAGGAACAAACATATATAGTCTACAGTAACTGCATAAGCTATGTTTGACACACCCCCTAGACTATATAGGGGCAGTGCCTAACAAGGGAAGAAGCAGCTCAGGGTGGCACTACTAGTCCAGCCTCTGAGACAAGGGTCTAAAGACCAAACAAAAGGAGTACAGACAAGGCAAGAGCTAGCCCAGGGCGGCACTACTAGTCCAGCCACTGGGAGAGGCCACAAGGCCAGTCTGGGTAAAATACATATATCAAGTGTTGGAAATATCTCAAAGGACTTAAGCGTTTCTGGAGTGTAACACTACACTCGAGGAAGATCGCAACGGGTACACGAGTCAACGGAGGTTACACGAGGGGATGGACAAAGAACGCGAAGGAATTCGAAGGGTCGCAACCGGAGGTTGCGACTAACCGTTACAACTGCGCGGATGGTAACCGAAGCGACAATCGAGTCGCTGTGCGACTCGATAACCGCTCCTGCAACTGTACTCAACAACTGCTTTACTTTCCTACTTTCTATATGTTGCTGTATGCTTGTTTCTTTTAATCAATCACTTGTTCTCATATACTTGTACAAGGGTTCAACTACTCAACTTCCGCTGCACTACTCAAGTCTCATTCTTCAACTGGGACTTAGTCTCTGAAAAGATCCTAAGGGCTTTTCTCAGCCCAACATGGTATGAGAGCTGGCCAGAGACCAAACTCCCAGCAACTACGCTCTATCTACAATCTGCAATTCAACGACTTCATTGATTACAAGTCATGGACAGCAAGGGCAAGAAAATCTATACGGGCTCACCCAGCGCCCAAGACACTCAACCCAGCAACTCTGGATTGCACACTTCAGGACTGCAAACCGAGATCGGCGCTGCTCAAGAAACAACAGGAAGAGCACCGGAGATGGTGACCCCATCACCCTCTTCAAGCGTGGATCCGAACCTTATGGAAAGGTTCTTCAGCTTCATGTCGCACTTCGACCAGCAGCAGCAGACAAGGACACCTGCGCATTCAACACAGAGCAACGGAGGAAACATGGGATTAGCGCCAATGAGCCTTGACAACTCATCGTTCGGGCGACACAATCAAGCACCTACCTTTGCGCCTTATCACTCTTCACCGGGGACGTTCGAGTTCATGCCGCCCCGTGCCCAACCAACAGCAGCTGCATCACAACAAACACCAAACGAGATACTTAGTCTCCAGGCGCAGTTTTCACACGTGATCAAACTGCAGACATCCTCACCGTTCAACGGACACGATTTCTTTACCTGAAGCTTTGAGTTCGAGCTGCTGATGGAGGCTGCGCACCTCTTGGGATACTTCAACGGGTCCCTGCCATTTCCAAGCAATGGCACTTCAAAAGAGCAGAAATCTTCACGTATCAGTCATTGCTGGCGTACACAGTTCTCCTGCGGAACCTGTCACCACAAGAACAACAAAGCATCAGAACATATCGGAGCTACGGAAACTCCGCGGAACTCGCATGGCATCACCTCAAGTGTCTCTATCAAGCAAACGACAGCGTGACACAAAGCAGACTCAAGCAGCAGCTGGCAACAATACAGATGAAGACCGGGGAAAAGGCGATGCAGTATATGAGTCGATGGCAAACACTCCGTGACCGCGTGCTTCGGTGCGGAGGAGCAATCACTGAAGAAAGCTTCGTGACGCTTGTCCTCGCCCGGCTCGGGCCAGAATGGAGAACCACCCGCTCGCTTCTTCGCGCCCACGGAAGGATCTCGGAGATGCACCTGTGCGCCGAGCTTCATGCTGAACAACAGGAGATGGATCTGTTCGAAGAAAGACAACCAAGGAAGCAGCAGCAGTTAGATTTCTACACTCAACGAAGGAACGACAACAACTACAATCGACGCGGCAAGCAAGATCAACGCGACAACAGAGGACTCACCATCGTGCCGCCGTTCTGCCACAACTGTCAAACATCCGGACATTCCAAAGTCAACTGCACACGTCCTCGTGTTTATCGCCCAGTAGACCCACAAGTCGCTTCCACTCAAGAAAGCCCTCCAAGGCGTTCTTCCACATCTGCACAAGGGACCCCGAATATTATCAACTGTATGGTACACATCAACAACTGCGCACCAGGATCACCACCCACTTACGCGCCAGACGAAGAAGAACTCCCGCCGCCGCGCTCACAGGGACTTCAGGTCAACCCGACATACGCTGCGGTCGCCAACGCCGAACCTACCGGGCGAAACACCTGGTTCTTGGACAGTTGCTCTGGTCAACACATGTGTTCTTCCGGACGCTTCGTGCAACGAGAGCGACGCCTCAACCGCGACGTCATCATCACGGTCGCCAACAACGAGAACCTGAAAACAAACAGACAAGGAGTGGTTCAGTTACAGTCCATGGAAACAAATGTCATCCTGCAACTCAACAAGGTCCTAATCGTTGATAACTTGGGATACAATCTGCTAAGCGTCAGCCAACTAATGGCAAAAGGGATTCACCTGGAGTGCGACTCGGACTCCAACGAGTTCCGCCTTTACCACAGGAAGGGCGGCCTCTTCATCGGTCGTGCTCTCCTGAAGTCCGGCGTCTTCGTGTTGGACTTCGTCCCCGACCGCGGTACTGCCGACAGCGATGGGATCGTGTCATTCGCCGCTTGGACACACCCGCCGGATCTTGACCCCGACTTCAACCCCGATGGATTCTGGTACTCCAACGCCATACCTGCAGCAGAGAGAACACGAGCATTAGCAGTCATCAGACAAGAAAGACAAGTACCAGCAAGTGTCCCTTCCCAACCATCACCTGCAGTAGCAGCAGCAGGACCCAGCCGAGTACCACCACCAGCGATCCGAGGACCGCCAACCGAAGCAGATCAACTTATGCCCATCACACGAGAAGTCTGCCGAAGTCCCGCCACGGTCGTCGCGTTCTTCTCCAACACCGACATGTACCAACGCTCGCCCGGCCATCGCGCTTCCGACGACATCTGGCACCAACGCCTTGGGCATCCTGCAAACAGCACGGAACTACAAACAATCCAAGCAGAAGTATTAGAACGAAACGCTCTTCTTACAACAAGCGGCCAAGAACTTCGAAGACCTCGCGCACTGTGCTTCACGTGCCCCGAAGCAGATCTTCCCCATCAACCCTTCCCATCACATCACAATCCAAGTGCACCTGCATATGCACCAATGGAAAAGGTTTACAACGACATCTTAAATATGCCTCGAGACGACACGGAAGCCGACTTCAACTACGTAATCACTTTTATCGATGCAGCAACAAGATATGTTTGGCACTACAACCTCAAGACGCGAGATCAAGCCTTCGAAGCCTTCACGACGTGGCTCCCAATCGCTGAACGAGAATCAGGAACTACGCTCAAGAGTTTCCAATCCGACGGCGCACTAGAATACCAGTCACAACGATTCAGGACCTACTTGGCGGAGAGAGGAATCAGACGCCTGGTGTCTCTACCCTACGCTCACCAGCAACAGGGGGTCGCAGAAAGAATGAACCCGACCTTGCAGACGACGATGCAGAAGCTGCTCCTGGGGATGAGACTGCCCAACGCACTGTGGCCAGACGCGATGACCCATGCAGTCCACCTGCACAATTTGCTATCCTCGTCATCGCTCCCCAACAACGCATTACCGCATCTGCTGTGGACACGAAAAAGGGGCAGCACAAAATTACTTCGGGTTTTCGGTTGCATGGTACAGTACAGACCCCACACAGCCAGAGCAGGACGTTTCACTCAACGAGCACGATGGGGACTACACCTCGGCATCGCAAAACATTTTCAAGCATGGAAAATCCTCGACATACAAGACAAAAATACCGTGGCATCACGTGATGTGATCTTCTACGAACGACTGACGCTGCAACATTACCAGGACAACGTCGCCCACAGAGAAGACCCCACCGACGGTGTCGCAGGCCTTCGCTCCTTCGCTGACCATGCTGCCGAAGCTGACGCAGCAGAAGAAGACGTACCTGGAGCTTCGGAAGCTGCCGGACCACTCCCTTACTGCTCCGTGCCAGTCCCACTCGACGACGACAATCCTCTCGATAGCAACAACCTCGACACCCTTTACCACTTCGCTGACCAAGGTTACGTTACACCTCACCCGGTCGACACGAATGTCTCAGAACGCATCGGCCGACGACCGGACTTACCTAGAGTAAAGTAACGACATCGTCCGTACAACTACTCGGATACGTCGACGCCGATCACGCGGGAGACAGGGAAAACCGACGCTTAAGGACGGGCTACATCTACCGACTAGAACCTATCGGGACTATCTCCTGGCAGTCGAGCAAACAGGAACTAATCGCATTATCTTCGGCTGAAGCAGAATATATCGCCCTCTGCACCGCGACCAAGGAAGGACTTTACCTGCGAGAGTTACTCGAGGAAGCAAAGATTGCGACCCTGCGCGTCTTCTCACTCCTCTGCGACAACCAATCTGCGATCAAAATCGCTAACAAAGACGGCTTCGCCAACCGAACCAAGCACATCGCCCCGTGGTACTTCTTCGTCAAGGATGAAATCGCGAAGGGGAGACTTCAACTCAGTTACTGCCCTACGACAGAAATGGCCGCAGACTATCTGACGAAGAAATTGGCGAAGGCAAAATTCGATTACTGCACGCTGCTGACCGGGCAGACAAACGTCACCGGATCTGAACACGTCAGCACTCCAGAAACGAAGGGGAGTGTTGGAAATATCTCAAAGGACATAAGCATTTCTGAAGTGTAACACTACACTCGAGGAAGATCGCAACGGGTACACGAGTCGACGAAGGTTACACGAGGGGAGGACAAAGAACGCGAAGGAATTCGAAGGGTCACAACCA